TATGATTTCTTCTTTTATCCATCCTTGAGTGTTCAATACCTGTATTTTTAGACATAAAATGTGTAACCTACAGAATTTTCTTGATTTGTTACAATTTTATTTGTTGTAAGATTTATTTCAGAATTAAATGTGTATATCAACATTTGTTATGTTCTCATAAATTTTGTAATACATGGAGATTCCTGATCCGCATATGTAAACCTCTACATGAAAATTATTTTGAATGACGTCACTTGTGAGGTGCTGTGGGAGTGGGGCCTCAGAATGACGTCACTTGTGAGGTGCTGTGGGAGTGGAGCCTCAGAATGACGTCACTTGGCTCCCTGGATTCAGCCCCCTTCCTAGGGGAATACGTGGATGTATCTCCCACTTTGCTGGAATTCTCCGGGCAGAGTACGCAAAACTCCTGGGTTTCCAGCATGCCCCAGTGAGCCAGCCAGCTCTCCGCCGAGACTCCACACAGCTCTGTGCTGCAGACCCAGGCCATGGGGGCTGGGCTCACGAGGGGACCTCCTGATCTGCAGGTTGCCAAGATCCGTGGGAGAAGCGTGGTTTCCCGGGCAGAGTCGCACAATCACCGCCTCCCTTGGCTGTGACTGGGGGCTCCCCTAGCTCGTGCCCACCTGGGTGGGCCGTCGTCCCGCTTGCTTTTCCTCACTCTCTGTGGGTCGAGCTGTCTGCCTAGCCAGTCCCAGTGCAAGAACCTGGATACCTCAATTGAAGGTGCAGATTCACTCGCAGTTGTCACTGCTCTCCGTGAGAGCCACGGGCCACAGCTGCTTCTAATCAGCCAGCCTGGCCCCATCTAAAGTACGATTTCTTAATACATGAGATGTTTTAAATACATAACAATAATAATATTTATTGCAAATAATGTGTTGTCTCAATGTGATATAAAAATTTATAATAAATTAATTCTTTTTTGGTTACCACAAAACTATCTGGAAATGTGACATCTGCCATTTATCAAAATTTTGCAGAGTTAATAGAACTTTACCTGATCGGAGGCTGGCAATATGCATCATGATGTCAAGCACTGCTAGTGAAGTTGTGGAGTTTGACGTGGTCCTTACATCTTGTTACTGGAATTATGTAAATTGGTACAAATTTATCAATTGTGATTAAACAATATATACCAAAATTATAACTGGAAATACTGTCTGATTCAGCAATTTCATTTCCAGAAATTTACCCTACAGACATACTCATGATGCCTGGAATTATATCTGAATGGGAGAAAGTATTATACCACCTTTTTAAT